ATGTCAGTATAAAGCACTTAACATTTTCCAACAATGTATTACATCAGTGAAGCAGATGGAGAGATCTTTGACTATTCTTCTATACAAAATCTCTCTAAATCAGTTCTTGGCCATTTTTTGTTCTCTCTTCTCTCCAGCTAAAGCCATGGAATTTGGAATTAGGGTCAGGAGACAAAGATTGCTGTACTGAATTAACTTTTGTTGCCATTTGTTGTTGTTTGATGTTTGATTGTTATACCATTACAAGTTTGGTAGACTCAGCTTTTTTTTTCTTTTTTGTAATATTGGGTGCATAGGGTTTTACAATCTAATTTCCAGGAACTAAAAAAGGCAAACCTCCCCACAGCATCACTAACCATCCACCATGCTTAACAGCGGATATAAGGAGCTCCTCTAAATAATCATCATTTCTTTTAATATATTTTTCTGGTCTCTATTGGTCAAAGCCCAGACTTCCAGTTGAATTCTATCTAATGATTTACAAACTGTACACAGTATATTAGAGAAAAAAAGGCTTTTTTATCTTATCTCACAAACAATGTTTATTAAATGAAGGTGCCATTTTTGTTTTCGTTTTACAAAAATGAAAGCTGAAGATTTTTACTTACCATCCTGCCTGCTTTGTTTGGTGGTCAATATTGATCCTCAACCAGCCAACTGGCTAGTGAATACAATAAATTGGCCTATCAAGTAATATTTATTACTGAGAGAAACCAAAGCCATGAATCAAGTATTAGATAAATAATAAATCTAAGCTTTAGATAATTAAAATGCAGTTTTTATTTTAAAAGTATAGTTTCAGGTACCAACAATTGTGCCACCAGCATTTTGTTGCTTTAATTTTTAAGATTGGATTCCTTTTTTACTACTCTGTCCATTGTTTAAATGTTGATTTTTAAAAAGATTTTTATTAAAATCTTTATTCTTACCACAGTTGGGCACCAATATATATTTCTGCATCAGCATAACAGAAAAACAACCTGTTATTCTTTGTTATATTTGCCCATTCGATTTTTATGTAATTCTTTTTGTATGCATTTAGCCCTCTAAAAGTTGTCCAATTTCAAAACTTTGGAAATTTTAAAGGTACTTTTTTATATCCTAACTGTGATGTTTAAAATGTACAACGTTTGTATTATAAACCAGCCCATGAGAATGTTTGTGGTGTCAGTAAAACTGGCAGAAGCTCAGATGCTGTGCCCTTTTTCTTTCCTTTGTCATTTCAAGAAGTTTAGTAGTTGCCGCTTAAATGTGTTAGAAAACTTCTTCCACTGCATCCTGAGGAAGGCAAACACAGCGGGTGCATGAATGCCATTTTTCTGTAAAGAGGATGTTGGGATTTCCGTCCATTGTTTTTCACTGGGAACACCATTATCAGTGTTGTTGTTCCTAATCATTGCATTAGGAAACGGTGCAACAAACAGAAGGTCCAAGCAATGATGAAAGGCATATCTCTAAGCTGATGATCCTATCACTGTAAAACATATGTGCAGGTTTACTTTTAGTGGTTTTCTTTTCACAATGTGATGCTGATTATATTAGTTTTTGTCTAAGTAGGCTTACATAAACATATTCTTCAGTCATAATACAGTGCAGATTGTGCAACACTATTTGGCAGATAGATACATTTGATAGGTTGCAATTGTATTGTAATAAAGATATTTTCAAATAGGAGAACAAATGGTTGCTGGAAAGTGGCCACATTTCAAGATGAAACACTTCTATTTTTGTTTGTCTTACAAATGACCCGATGCAAATTTACGCATTTACAGGAGACCCCTTTGTTTCACTTTGGTTTGCTTTGCATGAAACAGCAACCTTGATGGGGCTATAAAACACCACGGTTGGGTGGCTTTCCTCACCGTGAATTGCCCCACATCCTTTGGGAGTTGTGGTGGAGTGGTGACTCTTGCTAGGTGATGAGGGGAGCAACTTGAATGAAGGAAATGAAGTTAGTGAAGTGAGTGGGGTCAAATGAGCAGGAAGAGGCGAAGTCCACCACAGAGCCTGGCTTCTCTTTAATGTTTCACATAATACAGACATAAAGGAATTTTTACATTAGCTCTTGGGTTCATTAATATGATATTATTTTATCAATGTCGCTGATTTCTGTAGTATTTTAGTCCTTTAAACCATTGATCATGAGTCCCACTGGAATTATTATAATTATTAATTTTTCAGATCAAGTTCCACCAGGTTTCATTCTATTAATTTTGCATATATTTTGTTCATATTAGAAGCTTGCCTTACAGCTATGGAGCCCAGTGTTTCCACAAGTAGTGGTTACCTCTATAAGCAAAGTGTCCCACTGCTCTGGACACTATTCTGTCAGTTTTGGACTAAGCGTTTGGGTAAGGGAAGCTGTCAGATGATTATACTTGATGTCTAATTTGAATCTGTTAACTCAGATATACAATAAGGGCCATGTTAATGCCATTGTATTTTTATCTTTCTTTTCATTTATCTTTTGTATTTTTTGTAAAGTGACCTTGAGTGTCAAGAAAGGCGCTGTTAAAATTTTTTTATTATTATTATTATCATTTCATCTGTGAAGCAGGAGGGTGGAAGCACTATATATGTGATGCTGGAAACAGGACTGGTTGGCATTACTTAAACAGATAAAAGAATACGGGGAAGTAAACAGTAACATAGAGAAGGATTTTCAAGATGAACAATGACACAAAGCATGTTATGAAATTATTAAGTAGCTTAGGGCCAGCAAAGTAAATATTTTCATTACAGAGCACGATCAAATACTTAAAGAATCTCATTGCCATAATTGAAGGTCTTAGCAAACAAAAATATGTTTTGTTTTGTTTTTCTTTACCAAAATTACAGTCTTTTTTATATTAGGAGGTAAGAAAAACGTTATATCTTAAACTTTTCTTTTACTCATGTGAGTGTATTTGCTTATAGTGATGCACATAAGAGGAGGATGACCTGCCCTTAGCTCGATTCATTTCAGAACCACACTGGTTTCCTAATATGAGCACATTTTTCTAACTTTACCTGGATATGTTTGCAGTTTACAGGCTGTTGTTCTTTATACAGTTGTAAAGTTTTCCAGGTTCTGTTGCCACATCATCCCTCCGTGACGCATCGCGACACTTTGCGTATTTGTAGTGTTCTTTTGATAGAAAGACAATAAAGCTATTTAAGGCAAGGTTTAATTCTTATCACCACATAAAGACTTTAAAAATCAGATTTATGAGGCTCCTTCTCCCTCTTGCCTTCTCTCTTATTTCATGGTTCAGTTGCCTCACATTGCAAGCAAAGGGGAGGTTTTCACTCTCTGCTTATTGGCCGCAGATCTCTCGTCTCAGCAGCATTTCCATACATGCGCCAGGCGCTCTTTCAGACACCATTTTCAAAAAATAACTCTGTCATCATCGTTGGAAAACACATTCGACTCCGGACGGGACTAATTATCTCCATTTGGAAGAGTTGTGATTTTCTAGTGCAAAAGAAAAACGTCAATAAGAGATCAACCGGAGTAAAGACAGGTGAGTGGCTCGTTTTCGTGAAGCTGTGCTGGGTAAATGCGCGTGCAAGAAGACAATAAATCATTTCCGCGTGTTTGTTTTTATTGATGCACGGCCAGGCGCTCGAAATCCTGGCTCCATCCTTCACTTTTTTTTCTTTTGATTTGTTGTTGTTTTATAATTGTGCAGAACATGTTTTTTTTTTTTTTTTTTATAAGTGCGAAGCAGAAGTGAAACTGACTTAATGCGCCTGCTTTATTGCATCGGGCTTGTTCCGATTTGACTTATTCAGTTGCATCTCTTATTTGTATAAGTAAAAGTTTCAACTTAAAAAAGTTTGTCTTGACTTTTTATTCTCAAACGTCTCGTGTCGGAGGTAAAAGAGAGAGAGAGAGAAAAAAGTATGGATGCATATCAGCTAAAACTAGTTGGCTCTCCTTTATGATGGATAACGGCAAGGTAAAGATGCTTAAAATGTAACACTAGAGGGGTTCCCGGCCCACGGGGCTGTCTCAGAGGAAGGTTCTTGCCGTTATTCACCAGTCCTCCTCTGCTTAATTGGCTGCAGATGCGGTGTCCTGTAGGGCCTTTTTTTACCGTCTGGAAATCAGATGCGTTTTTGGTTAGTTTCTGTGCGTCTGCATGTGAAAAAAAAGTATGATGTAGGCTATATATATACATATATATCAATATATATATATATATATATATATATATATATATATATATATATATATATATATATATATATATATATATATATATATATATATATATATATATATATATATATATATATATATATACTGTTTCACATGACTGAGCTGTCGCAGAAGGATCATTAAGAGGTGACCTGCCATTGCAGACATCCACATAAGTTCATTTGCTTAATCACCCATCTATTTGTATGGAAGAGGCGCTTGTGATTCCTCTGCCCTGCTAATAATTGCAGAGGCATAAGGAAGAACTAGAAAACACCGTCCCCGCGGTGCCCTTTCACCCGAGACTTTGTAAGCTGCACTTATTAAAGCGAAAAGTGTTTCAATATGTGGTAAGCTTTAGGGGAAAAACGTGATGGGGGTTGGGATAGGGGCCCTCTTTTTTTTTTTTTTTTGCCGCTTGATTTCTATTGGCTAGAATTGGAGTAAGTAATTTATCCATGTTAGCTGTAGGTCATTGCTGTAATTTCCATCTACTGGCGCTGTTAAATGTAGGGAGGGTAGTAATTAAAATCTGCCCTTATCTAATAGCCCGTACCGGTGCTTAGGGAGACAGAAAAAAAAAGGAAAAAGAAAAAAAAAGGGGGGGATTTATGAATGAATTTAGGCATGTGATTGACGTGTGGATTTGAGGGTGGGGGTACCTTAGGTAAATTTGACTCTCCCTTTCATTTGGTGGAAGTGGTAACCCCTGTTTCCTTTATTTAGAGAGTACATAACCTTGCTTACTTTGTAATAATACGTATACGAATAAATTAAATATTTTCATATTTTTTCTTTGTTTTTCTTTTCTCTCCAGGGCCCATTGGACACTGAGCACCCTTGGGCCTGTCTGTCAAGTAGACATGTTTCAAACTGTTCCTGACACCTCGTCTTACGTTAAGGTAAGACATCAACGTCTCTTGAATCAGGTAATTTTGCAGAGCTGTTCTCCCTACGTTTGCTAAAACTGTGGTGATCATCAACAAAAAAGTTTGGCACAGAATATGACACTATTTTCCAATTGATACAATGCTATAAGTGACCCTTTAAATCAGTTATTTGTGGAGGAATGAAAAAGAGTTTAAGGTCATTAAACATACTTGGAAAAACCAAAGACATTTTAGTCAGGAGCTTCAGTTTTCAAAATTAATTTTCTTGAATGGGCTGTTTGGGATTCTCAGGGTATAATGTTGAGTATTTTTATGAAATATTTAATATTATTTTTTTTTAAGTAGAATGTTTGCTAAAATAATATGTTTAATCATCATATGCTTACTATCTAAAACATTTATTCTTTATACCATATTTAATTAAGATACTGGGTTAGTTAGGGATTCTTAATTTGTACTGCTTTGTTTGCTGATGAAGGTTCTCAGTCATCCAGGTCATAGTCATCCCGTAAAAATTCAAAAAATATCCACTGGATTTGGTTTTCAAGATTTGAAGTGGCGAAACGTCTTCAAATCTTGAAAACCAAGTCCAGTGGATATTTTTTGAATTTTTACGGGATACTGCTTTGTTTCAACTGATTGTATTTTGAATAACATTTTATTAAGTAAAAGTTAAAAATTACTTGTGGTTAAGAAAGTGTATATGCAATAATATCTATTGATGTCTACATTTAAGTTGTTTTTAGTTTGTTTTAGCGAGCTTTTGTTGCTAGTGCACATTAGTTTGTTCTCTTTCTGTTTGGAAGTAATACTTTTCCTGTTCTTGGTCATTAATACAGCAAGATCAGCCTCTGAAGTCAGAGTTCCTGTTGGGAAAGTCAGAGGTCATGGACCAGCCCTGAGCTCAAATTCCAATATGGCTGCCAAAAATATTAGACATTGATATTTGAAACTTGGTAGCATTTATAACAGTAAATAGGTGCCACATATACTAATGTCAACAGTTGTTATCACCAAAAACAACTAACCAATACTGGATTATTGATATTCTGGGGCTGGTTTAACCAATAGTTTAACAACATTAGAATAGATTGAAACACTTTCATATTTCAGTAACCTTTTATGGCTTAAAAAAAAAACGATTATTTCCTAAACCATATCTGCAACTCTTCGAAAAATGTTGCCTATTTTAGTTGAATAAGGCCTTAAAACCTGGTATTTATTTAATGTACTTTGAGCTTTTTACATATTACACTCATGTTTACAGGTGAAATGCCTGTAAATTTCTGCACCAATTTAAATGATGTGGAAAAGTAATTTAATGTTGTTTTACTGCATGATGGATCACAATAAAAAGTGTATGCTTTTACTCTGAAGTCGCGTTGTTTCTAAAAGTCTCTGTTGTTCATCTATGTCAACTGGTATATAACTCAATATGGTGTTAAGTGTCATTATCGTGATGTCATGTATCTTCCTCTTTCTGTCCGTCACGCTCCTGAGAAGGTAAACAAAGCGCACATCTGTTTTTCCCATAAAAACCGCATCGCGTCGGTGATGAGTTGCGCAGCAGGGATACCTGCAGCACACATCCAATGAGCGCTGAAACATTTTCGATACAGTATAATGTGTGTGAGTCTATATGAGGTGAACATCAAATGGAAACGTGTGAATGTCGGGCGGCTGCTTGACGTCTGACGCTTGGATTCCTGCCTATAGCTTTTCAAATGAGGCATTGAATTGCGCATGGCTATGTTTCTTCTTAATTAAGGTGTTTTTCCAAAGGCCGACTTAATGTTTTGAGGACCCCCCCCCCCCCCTTTTTTTTTTTCTTTTTTTTTTTTTAATAAGGGCTCCTTTCTTCCAGCCGCAGCCTTATTGCTAAGGGACTTTGCGTTTAAAAATCGGAACAATTCCCGATTTGTTGCTAGAGAGTTCAATAGCAGGGAATGTTTAAATAGAAAATATGAGCCTAAATGACTCTTTCTGTAAGAGGCGCAGGAAAAGGGGAAATAGAAGTCACCTCTCTATTTTGCAATGCTTTGTGTTTCACGGTCAGTTGTGGAAACGTAGCCTAGATTGTTTCCTTGTATTCTGGAGTTTCCTATTTATGAATCTGACTGGATCCCTGAAGATCATGCGGAGAGCTGTTGGTGAGCATGTGGCACGCCTCAGTGTACGAAATCTGAAAGAAATATTCCCTATCATTCGAGCGAATCCAAAGGGCCCCTGCATTTGGTTTTGTTTGGTTAAGGCCAGGCGAGACTGGAACTCTCCAATAAAAATAAATCTCAAATTAATTATGGCCTAGAGCGAGGGGCCAGACAGTTCGTGCTTCTATGTGCTGCAGACTCCAGATTTTTCTTTTTTTCTTTTTTGCCCTCAGTATTTTGACTCGGGTAAATGCCTTTTAGCCTGAGAGCAGGAATGATCTGAATATGAGTCTGCAGTTTAATAAAAAAGAGCAATGGCTCACATAGACTTGGTATGCTTTAGCCTTGGAATTCTATTTTCTTAAGAATACTCACTGCATATGCATTTTACTTTTATAAAATAGACTAAGATTGTTAATAGAAATATGAGAATTAACAAATACCATCTATTAAATAAAGGGAAAAAAACGAAAAACATTAGAAATGAATGAGATATATGGGTTAGGGTTATATTAAAGAAACAACACCATGCCAGCTCATCCTATTTCCTATCTAACCACAGATTTATACAAATTAGAGAAGAGAGGATGGGCCCACAACAATTGAAAAGCTGCTGCATGTATAAACTGACTAAGTGTCCGCCCACTCCTGGCTTGTTGCCTCAGTGCTGAGACAGAGGAGCTACTGGCTGGTGGTGTAAGAAGAAATGTCTGGCTGTCTAGTTCCAGCGTCAAAGCCAGATGTTCTGTGGTTCCCTGTGTAAACCAACTCGCATCTGTTTATTGGCCTTCTAAAATGTTTGTTAGCGCTTTATTCATTATGATCTTGGGAGTTCTCGCTACCTCTTGTCTTTTTGATTAGATTTATGACCAGAATTGGGAATATTCTTGTAAAATAAAGGAGTTTGGTTTTGGAATTATTACTTACAGGTTATCAAGATTAATTGCAGAAAAGAAAATATTTTGGAAGGTAAAACAAGATGAGCCTGGGTGTTTTAAATAAGGGTGAAACATAAAATTGATGGAGTGTTTCGAATAGTAGGACCAAAGTTTCAGTAGGCCCAGATCAGAATTAAATTTTGAGGATACACTTACATTAAAAAATACAACACCTTCCTGTTCCTTCTACTTAACTGGAAAAACAAACAAAGAAAAAAAACTGTTTGGTTTTTTCAGGGAAAGCTGTATGAAAATGTTTAATGGAAAGTAAAGTGGAGGGAAAAAGTTTACAAGAAAGGATTAGAAAATAATGCTAAACAATGTGGGGCTTTTAAAATAAAAACATTAGTTTTGGCTTTTTTCCCGCTGTATGCCATAATCAGCTAAATATTTAAACTTTTGAGTTATGTACAATAGGAAATAAACTCTTAATTATACTTAATCCATCTTAAGGCCCCAAGGCCTACAAGTTTGCAGGTGTGTTCAGCCTAAACCTGCTGACACAGGCTGGTAGATTACCATATTGTGAGAGGATCAAGTAAAAATATCAAAATATGATATTTAAACAAAATCTTATTACAAGGACTTTTAAAATAATGTGGTTTTACTGATTATACAGAGGTAACCTCTTATTACTGCTAAAATAATTAAAACATACAATACAGTACTACTGACTTGTTATGTTTATTTTTATTGTTATTTTTGTTTCTGATGTGATATTATACCACGTGCTTTTTGTCAATCTGCTCTGACACAAGTAAAGCCAATCGGATTTATGAGTAATCTTCGGGAATGCTTGGTGGACACCTGCTGGAGTGAGTGCCAGAAACAAGGATTCCAATTCACTTGCAACAGATTTACAAATCACCCTACTTGAAAAAAATCTTCTAAAAAACTTTCATGGTTTAAAAATTGTGGTAACGGGATGATTTTCCTAATTTTCTTTCTGTTTCTGCTGCTTTAGTTTGAGCTGGAGTCACATTTAAAGGGTAGCTTTAGGCGAGAAGTTAACCAAAAACCTATATTGCACTCAGGCTTAGATTAGCTTATCCTGGTATAAATTAGTTAATCTATCTGTTAGTGGTGAAGATCAGAGGTAGTGTTAGTGATTTACTTCGAGAATGAATATCTTCATTCTGGCAACTTGTGCAGGTCTTTCAATATTCCCTCTATTTCTCAGACATAAATTCATATTTTCATGATGTTAATATTTTCATCAATCGTGAATTTTACCTCTGTACCCCCAATATTTTGTCTATAACAAAATGATGCAAAACTCCAGACTCTGGAATGTAAAGAAAAACAAAAAAAAAGAGAATGAAAAGAAAAGAAAGCAGGACGGTCACTAAAGAGTTAAACAAGGTGTCTCCCTTAATTATTGGAGTCAGAGCTGGCCTCAGGCAGGAGAAGCCTTGACCCTTAGCAGGATCCAGATGTGGTGGTCCCAAGGGTGGGGGCCCATGCCGCCCCGCCAGACCCCCAAGTGGAGAGCAGACAGGCCGGCCCTGCTGTCAGGGGCAGACTCTGTTTGAGTCTGAGAAGCTGCTTCCCCATAGGCATACAAAAAGGATTCATTATTCTTATCATCAACTAAATCACAATAAAAGCTATTAAACATTAAGAGACAGCGGGCCTCGCTTTGTCCAACGAAAAGTCTGGTTTCCCCTCTCTAAATAGTGTTTTTGACCCCGCAATTTGACTTAAATTTAATGAAATACCCTTTATAAAAAATTCTTAAAATGTTTTCACCTTGCTTTTAATAGGAGATTGAGACCCTGAACTAAATAATTAAAAACATTCTTAATGGTTTCTGTCCAGGCATTTTAAATCAAATCGTGGCAAGGAGCTGAATACTTGTATTTTAATAATGTTGTCCTAGGAAAGTCTAACAGATATGGTCTTAAAATAAACGGTAATATAAACGCCTACCACACCTATTTCTCCCATTTTG